ACAAAAAAATAAATAAAATAAAATAAATAAATAAATAAATGAATAAATGAATAAATGAAACGGATATGGCTCACCATCAGCAAATTATGATAAAGCTAGTAGTTCGTATAAGAATGAGGGCCCACAGCGTCAACACTGTAGTCTCTTTGATATCACCACTAGTAATGTCTTATTATGTGAAATATCCACACACAATACCGAGAAAACTGGAAAAGAACTAGATCTACATTAACGACTCCTTCGTCATCTTAGAAGGGGGCTGAAAATTCTTGTTAACACTACACTTTTCCTGCGATAACCTGTGTGTTGTTGGTTGGGGGTGCTCTGGTGTGGTTTGCTACTTCTTTCCTATCAAACATCTATAATACTTATTTTCATTTATTCATTTATTTTTTTATTTTTTTTTAAATAAATTTTTGGTCTGTTTGTTCCGACACATCTTCGGCATTTATATGACCTGTGTTGCAACTCTTACAAAAACTAAAAATAATCGGTGTAAAAAACAAAAGATAAAAAAGTTGACACGTTCTTTCTATTTTGCTCTATTTTCCTTACTACTATAGTGGAAAGCAGTGAAGCCCTCTTCAAAACACGTCAGCGCTTAAAACACGTCACCGCACACAACACGTCACCGCACACAACACGTCCACTCGCGACTTCTGAGTCCAAAGGCAGGCGACAAAAGTATACTATATCAACACGGTATAATCCATAACATCTGAATCAGTGCAAGTCCACTACAGCTGCTATACATCGCAGCCCATTTGATACCACAACCAGCCTTCTCGCGTTTACTCACCTAAATGTAAAGATAAAGCCTGGCCAGACAACACAAATACAGGTATTCAATCAATCAGCCACATCTGTCATCTCAAACATCGATCCAAACATACCTCGCACTGAAGCACACAGATCCATTCATTACTGAATCGAATGTGAACTTAGGTGAATATCTGAAGGGAGAGCCTGGTTTATAGACTTGCATTCAAGCCGGTAAGACAGCTGGTAACGACAAAAGACATTTTATAGCCAGGCCTGACCTGTCATGGAGTGGAAACTCACCACAGCGTCCCACATGGTCAATCAATACGAGGTGTGGCCCCCAGTATTCGCCTCTTTATACTCTTACTGTCCGGGGGAGGCTTGAAAAAAAAAGGGGG